TTAAACCTCTAGTATGCAAATTTGTTAGTAGTAGTAGCATGTAAAAACTAACAGTTAAAAAATAGTTCTAGCAATATGATCAGCTAACAGAAGTAATCAAAAAAATTTTTGAACTTCACATAACACAAAATTTCAAATATACAATACTCTGTTTATTTGTCATATTGAGCTAATTATTTATCTTATAAGGTATAGGAGCCTAATGAGACTAGAATAGGAGTTAATAATTGAATTAAGCTAGTATATTTATTGTATAAGGCAATGTTATATATAAAAAATAATATAAAAGAACATACAAACTATCGCTATTCTTGCTAATCTCAAAGCAAAGCACAAATCTTATGTATTGTAAAATTTCAAAAATTTCTGTTTATATGTGACAATTTCTGTTTTGACTTTTTATCAGTCAGAAAATTGCTGAATATGATATCATATATATATATTTATATAAATATTACAATATTATTATTAAAAAACTGCTGAGTTTTCTAAGTTCCAGTTAAAATAAACACTGCCAGAGAAAAAGCAGCTTCTGGCATTTAGAAATTTTATGCACTGTCTCGAAGTAAAAAGCATTTAAATAATTAATACAATGTAGTAAATGCTTTTTCTGAAGAATAGAAAGTATAAAAAAGATTTTCCCTTCTGAAAATGCAGAATGGTTTATACAATACTTATAATAATAAATAAAAATGAATTCCTTCTAATACAAAATGTCTTACTTTAAGAATATATCAAAAGTAGTAAATTCGTTATAATTAAACTCTAAATAAATCTTGCTCTGTCTTATATAAGATGATATAGCATTCAATTCAAAGTTATGATTAAAGCTAAATTGTGCATATATATGCATTGTTTTTTTATTAGTTATATCAATACAGCACTATTTATAATTAGTATGATTGTATGTATGATAACACAAGACTTCTATAATAGCATAATGCTTGTAATATCGTAGGTTCTAGAAAGAACTAACTCTATATTTAATGAATTGTATATAAAGGTAGACAGTTCCTTTGATAAATTAGCATTAGTAAATATCGTCATAATGATCTCTAATTATCAATAATATTATCTTGTATCATAATATGTTGTGCAGACAAATTTGCTAGTAAAACTATAATAAACACTTAAAATATACACATAAAGAGATAGCATTTATCCTATATAGCTATGATTAGAACTAAAATGTGTGTTGTTCTCATACTTGTTGGCAAAATCCCAAACTATTAAAATTAGTTTGTCTGTATTCAAATCCCAAACTCTGGCCAAATTCATACGTATCTCAAAAATTTTATTAATAATCCTTATTCAAACAAATATCATTAACAGTATTCTTATAGTTATATATAATATATTAGCAAAATTTCAAGACTATTTTTTGGTTCAATTTTTTATAAATAGCAATAGCAATTGTTTTTTAGCAAGTATAGTATGTACTGATATATACATATGTCAGTTAAAACATAATAATCATTTCTGAAATATAAACTTAGATTTTATATGATTTTTAAATACAAAAACTTTATTTCGAGCTTGCTTTACTCATAATACAGTATATATATATTTTTTTGTTTTCGAAAGTTAATATAAGTCAGCAAACATTTTTTTTTAGTCTTATGTTTAATAAAAAACCAATTTATAATTTATCAAATAATAAATATCAAGAGTTTACAAATGCTTACATATATAGTATTATAGTGAGAACAAGTAATCATGCTTCCGATTGTGCTTCTGTTTGTCATGAAGCTACAAATAAATAGAATAATGTTAAAAAAAAGAAAATAGAAGATATTAATAAAATAATTCGTAGCTACATGGCTATACTAATTAATCTATATAATATATAAATAATGAAATATAAATGTTTAGTATCTGCAACAAAATCATGTTCACCTCCTTTGTTAACTGTTAATTCAGTAGCAGTAGATCCTTTATCAGAAATTCTTGCTAACGCATCAGCCCAAAAAAAAGCAGCAGATGAAATCAAGATTGCTAAAAAAAAACTTCAAGAATTTGAGAAAATTTACAATATGACTACTGATATTCAAGTTCATAATGACATATATTCAAGAATAGAAAACCTGCAGGCTGAAATTAAATCTAACAAAGATAAAATTAACAAGTTAAAGAGAAATGCCAAATATGTCCAAAATTGCAAAAAAAAAAATTAAAACTACATATTGAAAATCAAGAGGTCATTTGTTATGATAAATCTGGAAAGTTACTACTACTCTTTAAGTATTCAGATTTATACAATTGTATATATAATTGTATAGAATTTGGATCAGCTGATGCAAAACAATAAAAAGAAGCTATTAAAATTCAAATTATAGAAAATTTGCATAAAAATCTCAAGAAAAAGTACGAAATTTATATAGTAAGAACTACATTAAACAATTACCTATTACCTCGCCAAGCAAACTTAATTGCTGCAAAAGCACATCACCATTCAGCATGAGTTGTAGTTGCTGAGGTTTCATGTACTGAAATGTATAAACATCCTAATAGTCACTACTGTCTTGCATCAGTAAAATGTGTAAAACAATTTGCTAGCACTTTTAATGATATGTTAGTTATTGTCTCTCAAGACGACAAGGCAAAGATAGGTCTTGGAGTACCTGCAGTAAGTTGAACATTCCATACATTACAATCTATTAATGAACTTGTGAATATCGCAGACCATAATTTTCCTGTAAGATTCAGACAAAAATTAATTTCATCAGTGTATTTGATGATTAAGTCAAATAAATCTAATGATGAATTGTAAACAAGACAGTTGGCATTTTTTTTTTGTACATCCCCAATGGTTACTTGGCACATTATTACTTATGCATATAGAGGATCTAGAAAATCTAAATTCAAATTCTAAATATAATGAAATGCTAAAAACAATTGGAAAAATTTGACCAATATGGATTTTATTAGTAGATAAAGGGCTGGACAAAAATCCTAAACATCTAAAAAACATAAAAATGTATTGCCAACTCTTCAAAAAGTTTGATTTGGATTTTTTAAGTGTATGAACACATGTCTCAGGGCAATCAAAGTATAATCCAGTCAAAAGGGGCATGGTGACATTATCTGGTAAGATTGGCAGTATCACATTGCCAATTGACTATTTTGGTACATATTTGAATACACAAGGCAAGATTACGAATCTGGAATTGGCTACTCAAAATTTTAGCTATGCAGGAGAGGCTTTTTGTGAAATTTGGCACCATAATTTAATTTTTGAAAAAAAAGTTGATGCTTACTATATTAACAAAACTATGAATCTTTTTGAGAATTTACGATTTAAAGAAACAAAAAATAAAGAGACTGAAGAATTAAAAAGAAAAAAAAAAGAAAATCAAAAATCAAACAAAGCAGATGAAAAAATGATATATACCTCCTTCAAATTTTTTGTACTATGGTCTTGGATTGAAGCTTACTGTAATATATGCACTTATTCTTTGAATATCAAATGATGCACAAATCTTAGTTGCTATGGACCGTCCAGAGCCAAGAAAGCTATAGATTTTCTTAACTTATATAATAGTTTTCTACTACCTATTACAAAAGCCAAAGATGGCCAGTTTACAAATCCTATTCACCTTTTTTAGTATTGTAATTTCATGAAAATCCCTGAATATAATGCTCATTGTTTAACTATTAACAAAAATACATATTTATAACTTTGTTGTTCTGTTTGCCAAAAATACTTTCCTACTCTCTCATTTTTAACAAATTACAAGCAATTAATGCACTCTGCTATCTGAAGATGATCTAAAAAACAAATTGAACAAAATTTACTAACTTTTAATAATTTTTCTCTTTTCCAATCTCAATAAAAATCATATGAATCAGAAGTCATTGAAGTAAGGATTTATAATTCAGACAGAGAATAAGTAAGTTTTATTAAAATAATTTTAATATAAGATTTTATTAACCATAAATGAAAGATTTTATTTATTATAAATATAGTGTCTCTATACTGATCTGGCTAATCTGAAGATTCTTTTCATAACGTATATTGAAAAATTGAATGGGCCCATTTGATAGAATGAGCGAAGCTGACTAGATGATATATGAATTATTGAAATAAAAAATAAAAATTGTGTAAACTCATGCATTACAGCTAATTTAGTTTTTGGACATTTTTTTTAATCACTAAAACTGTAAAATTTAATCAAATTTTATTGACAACCTCTTAAAATTATACTTAATTAACATGTACATTACTGTAAAGTACCTGAAAATAAAAAAATCACATAAGAGAACTAACATCTAACTGATTACTCTACCCTCTAACTAATTACTTTTTTTATTAATAATGTAGATCATTTATATATAATATGTCAAATAATTTTGCCTCAATAAATTAGTTAGTACTCTTTAAATTTGGGTACCAACCAAATTAGCCATAATGATAACAAAATTATCTACAAATCTTTGATTACATTGTTATCTTTTATAGACTCTCATTTACATATATAAAAAAAATGAGCAGTAAAAAGAATTCACAATTAAATTTGAAATGATATAAGGGATTATATACCAGTAATATATTAATAAATATGTTTAATTTCATGACTTTGTTAATGTTATATTTTGAAGTTTGATTTTTAGAAACATAATCATGATGTTTTTATATTAAACTTTTTACTACATGCACATTACTATAAGCTAATGATCTGACAATATATAAGTGCTGCCAGAAAGAAAACCAAACTGCTGGCTTTGAATTTATCACTTTACCAGATTAAAGGCAGTACATATGCCTTCAATTATATATTATATGCTCTGATCAGGCTAAGTCTGGTAAAATGATAAATTCAAAACTAGCAGTTTGGTTTTCTTCTGGTAGGACTTGTATATATAAATGAATGACAGAAATAGAAAACCTGTAAATTTAAGTACATATACAGCTGTCATTCTAGTCACTTTTATAACATATGTTACTTTGGTTCTCGAACAGGTTTTGTATTTAACTAGTGTTGGCCAATATGGACATTTGGACTAATTAAAATAATATAAACAAAATATAGACATTAATTTTTGGACATGGACATATAGATTTGGACATAGTTCAAATTTTTTAAAAAATATGAATGAAGATCTTTGTTAGCTCTATAGCCAATCAAAATAGTCTACGCTGTGTAATCTAAAATCTCTCTGAATTATTAACTAATTACAATAAGTCTATATTGTGTAATCTAAGATCTCTGTTGACCTTCTCTTGCTGATAATACATATTAGCCAATCACAATAAGTCTATATTGTATAACCTAAGATTTCTATTGACCCCCTCTTGCTAATAATACATATTAGCCAATCACAACATGCCTATATTGTGTAACCTAAGATCTTTGTTAATCCCTCCATCCTCTAAAATATTAGATAATATCTGTCATTGCCTTTATTATATTATCATCTTAATCAAAGTATTGAATATATATATATATATACTTACATAATGATAGATATAAAAACTTTAGTTAATCATGATTATATTTGATTATGTGATTATAAACATGGATATTGTCTATGTTCATATTCATGTTCATAATTTTGATTGAACATTTGTTCATGTACATTAACAGTTACATTTGATCATATGGACATGGATATGAATATGAACATAAACAATGTCTATGTCTATCAATTTGTTTGAATATTTATTTATGTACATTACTAATTGGATTAGGATATCTGTAATAGTAGTCACACCAGCATGACTAGCAGGTCATAGAGCATCTGTGCAATGTTAAAGTTATACAAAGAAATGCAAACTGACAAATTGGGCAGTACAAACACTAGATAAGTTCTTGTGGCTATATAAATCTGTTAAAATTAGGTAATAAAAAGTTCATTTAAAAAAACCTTAGTAAAGAGGTAGCTGATCTTTGATGGCCCTACTGTAAAGACTAGCCTGGCAAAACAAATATCAAGATCTAGTACCCAGTCATAGTAGTTGGACAGATAAGAATCTTCAGATTAGAAGTTTCAGGAGTACTATCAACTAGGCCATTAGAACGAATTAGAGAAAAAGGATATCAGACTGATCTAATATGTCAAAAGACTAATTATAATTCTACATAGGCTATCTGGATTAGGAGTTTGATAAAAAGACAAAAAAAAAGACAGAGGTATATAAAAGTACTAGAGTTATGCTGTAAAATAGATGCTAAGGTTTAAGTGAACTCTATAAGAGCATAGCAGTTTAATGGTTAGTCCTGACTACAAGTGTTGGTTCTGCCATAATGATATCTAGATCAGTTATAAAAATAGGTACAAAAGGTTTTGGAGAATTTACTTTAAGAATAATTAGTCCTAAGGTTAAAATGATAATTTGAGCATCTAAGTATAACTCAGTAAATTAATACAGGTTACAGGTTCAGAGAGTTTAAAATAGAACATTTAAGCAAGGATGTTAGGTATAATAATTGGTAAGAAACTTTTAGGCAAACTCCTTAAATAGGTAATATAGAAAAGTTACATATATAGCCAATTGTATGCTCTTCTGTAATGGTTCATTAAACCACAATACCAATAAGTGATTAATAAAAGTCAAAAAACCAAAGAGGTTATCTTAAAAAAAAAATAAAAATAAAAATAAATTTGATTAATTCTAAGTTTAATATATTTGAGTTTAAAATTTGGCTTTAAATAAAATTTCTAATTTCTAAGCTCTAATAATATTATAAATCAAACAAAAGATTTGGATCATAACTTTAAATATCATAACTATATATATATATATATATATAAAAGAATTAGTAATAAGGGTGTAGCAACCTAGTGAAGTGGTCAGGTT